GGCTTTTGCGATCGTCGCTCAAATCGCAAGGGTATCAAAGTGGTAAACCTAATCCACTACAATACATTGCAGTCTCTGTTCCACTCTAATCGATTTCACTCAACGATCTCACGGGAGTAGGGCTAAATGTAGACGGAACTTGCTTTTCTGAAGAAACGATCAGTGTGCCAGTAACTAGTTTATAAATGAAAAAGATCTTCTGAACCCTTAATTTATCTGAAGATAAATTTTTACAAAATATCTGGTGTTGCATTTGACGCCTATTATTTCTCACATCGCTTATTTTTCTCGATACTTAACAATATTTTAAACATAGAAGAATTTATGCAACGCTATAATTTACTTTGTCAAATTTGTGCGCAATGATATTTATTTACAAATTAAGATACTTACACATAATATGAAACAGACGCAATCAATTATTGATTTTATGTGTAGTTTGAATTTTACATATTTGAAAACTATGAACGCTGAATAGACTACATTATTTGGGGATACTTGGTTACTTGGTAATTGTACAACAAGGTATTTTAGACCATTTTTATTTTCTTTCTTTAAAAATGTTTAAATGTGTTATTCTTTACTTAGGATTGGGTGTCATTTTAATAATTAAATGTCATACTTGTTAATAATTTATTGTTTAGAGCCGTGATAGCTCAGTGTCCGGGCGCTCACCTTTAATTCAATATATTCGAGCAACCCAAGTTCGATCCCCGGTGCCAGCACCAATGAAATTGTTAATTTTAAGCCCTGAATTATCATGTGCTCGCGGTGAAGGAAAACATCGTGAGGAAACCTGCATATTTTCGAAAATATGTGAAGTCCGCCAATCCGCAGTAGAGTCGCGTGGTAGACTATGCCCTGATACCCTCTTTACAGAGGATGCCTTTGCCCAGCTGTGGGAAATTTAAAGGCTTTACTTTACTATACTTTGCTTTACCTTTTTTTATTATACGTCGATGACATATTTTTTAAATTAATAACTGCTGCTACCTTGGTAGCCGTATATTTTATACCAACACAAGTTTTTATTGATTGCCTTTATGCACATTACAAAAACAACAATTGTTACAAAAACAACAAACAACAATTACAACGCTAATAAGAAAGATTAAGATCACTTATTTAATTTGCTTGTTCATTTACCAAAAAATTTCAATTTTTTCGTTTTCAAATTTTACTTTGTTCCTTCCTGTATTTTCATTCTTTCTTTGGCATGCTGTCTCCCGACAACCGTAAACTGTCGTTATTGGAAAATCTTCGCGTCCAATTTTCTGTTCTATTCGAAGAAATTTTTGCGGTGCTACCACCATCTTCTGAAATTGCCATCCGTTGTCTGCGTATACAATCAAACTCGAGAAAATCGCAGCAGTGATTGCTTTTCTTTCTTAGGTCTATAACGGTTCCTCTTTCCATAATATTTAGTCTCGAGCGTGCGCGTTATCAGAATCGTCTGGTCCTATCGTAAACAGTTCTATTTTAAAAGGCGTCTGTTTTTAATCAGGGAATATCAAAGCGTTTGGAGCTGGAGGTTGCCAACGTGAAAGTGTCAATTAGTGTTTTTTCTTCAACTTGGCAAAGGGGCTAAGAAAGATTCTTGGGCACAAGCGTGAAATCTCATTACGTTTCCAATTAACACTATGTAGATCCGTTTGGTGATTTAGATAAATTAACTAGCTCTTTCAATCCCTTCATAGTACAAATAGAAGTAAATTATGATGATGATAATTATTAATTAATTTAGGACAATATATTTTTTATAATAATTAATAAATATAGATTAAAACTAAATTATGAAACTTTTTAATAATAACATTTCCAAATTTAAAAAAATTATATTGTATTCATTTAGGTACCAGTTAATATTTACTTTAAACATTAATCTTGCAGGAATTTAACAACTAAAGAAAATGCAAGTTCATCATCAATTTGTATTTCGAAACAAGATTCATGATTCCGCATCGTTTACTTAAACGAAGAGAAACACTGTAGTAAATCATTCCACTTGTGTTCATTAAGTTTTCATATCATTGTTCTTCCATAAATTAGTGAACACAACTTTATTGTCTAGATATGTATAAATCACCCGCTTATACCATAAACTTAATAGCTTTTGAAGGGCAAAGATAATTCAAAAAATAAGAAATCGATACAACTGAACTATATAATGTCCAAGAGTTTCCGATGACATATTTCATCCCGTGAGTTTATTTTAAATGATACATTGTATAAAGAACATGTCATAATATTCAAACTTAATAGTAAAATCACTTGATTTTGGAAATATCACTTTTGAGGATAGTGTTAATTGGTAAAGAGGTAAATAACAGTTTTGATAAACGAATAAATAATATAAACAAGTAGTGTACGTTATACATGGAACATTTTATTTTGTGTTAAAATTCTTACCAACTATATACTGCCTATTTATGATGGTTAATGTACAATTAACCCGAAACAGGAGGCTTGAAATATATCCGTTAAAAGCGATAATACCTCCAGTTAGCGTTTTTACATACATTTATTATTTGTGAAATTTATATCGAACGTCAATTAAAAACAGACTCCATGAAACATCATTTATTTTTGTGTGAACTGAGCAGACTCTACGATCCGTTTCTGATTGTGCAATATTGGGCTCACGATCTGATGTCGTTTGATGTCAGATCCATTCATCAGGCTTAGAAATAATTGATGAAAACGTGGTTCCTTTCATGTTCTTCTGAATCACGTGATTCTGGATTACATGATCCCTTGTTGTAAGGATGTTTTACAAACATAAAATTCACGTGGACAAAAACCCAGATCCCTCGGCGCCGACAACTGCGACACGGAGTCATCAAATGTTACAATTTTTGTCTTTATTTAGGATACTTAAAGAGCCAATGCATATATGTCTGCTTTTTCTTACAGCATCATGCTTGCCAATGTTTGAAATAACTGACAGTGGAGTTATAGATCCATCTCCGTCTTCTCTGCTGGCATAAAAGCATGGGAGAGTTCCTCTATGTATTATTCATTTACATCATTGAATACAATTCCTCTCTTTTCTTACGAAAAGCTCTTTGATATCGATAAGTGGATTAGTCATCATTTAATAATCCGATCGTTTCTAAATAATAAATACGTTACGTACGAAATGGAGGCGATATCAGAATCCCGGCGGCTGCCTGTGCCGCGCGTGGATTCTTTGAATTTCTGCCAAAAAATATTAATCTTGCGCTCCCGAAATAAATTTAATGCGAGATCGATCCATTTTATTTACATCGGCAGGGTCTTGGCTCGAGTCAGGAGATGATGACACGAAAGTGAATAGGTCCAGTCTTCATAAGATAAACTTCGTCTGGAATATCAAATAGTTTTACTTATACTTAACTTTTCAAAATAAGCTAAATCTGACGGGCTCATTACTTTCCGGGTCTAAAAACGGTCAATTCACCGGGGTGGATTGGGCAAAATGTACAGTATCTCTATCTACTATACAGTATCTCTATCTATCCTTCTTTGAATTTATTCATTCAAATACCAGTTCAAAACTTATGTTTGCCACTGTTGATGAAAAATAAAGTAGAATATAGTTAAAAAAAAAACAGATTTAGTTTAAGATTTCGTTTCTTAGAAAGAATGTACGACAATGCCATCTATTGAGACTTTTTAAAATGGGAGATCTTCCATTCCTAAAGACATTTATTTGTATACTAGCCAAGCGGACACACGATGTCCTATACACATGACTTAAATTCGACAACTTAGAAATTAAAAAAAAAATAGTGGACCGAATCCTGAATCTAAACCATTCTCGAATCGTGAACCTGAAGACACAAATTTCATTTAAATCGGTCCAGCCGTTTGGCAGGAGTTCAGTGACATACACACGTACAGAAGAATTATATATATATAAAGATTATTATAGAAATACCATTCGGTAAATTATGGTCGACTGGTTATTCAAATGTATTTCTCTTGCCTACTGGTGTGTGAAAATTTCGATATTAATTTGGTTTAATCCGTAATTGTTGTTGGGATTTCAGTCAACCTCATTGCTTAGTGCTTTAAAGAATTCCCGACATTATAGTAAAATATAGCTACAAAGCTACAATATTGTGTTGTTGATCCATTTAGCGGAAGATCTTACACTTCCCGATGTTTAATTCCCTTTTAATTCGCCTTAAAACAACTTAGAAAACTAGACAAGCAGTACCTCGTTTGGATAGGCAGAAGATCCAATAATAAATACGAATCATTCAATTGTTTCATTAAAAAATGGAATCCGTATCAAAATAAATGTTAAAAGTACGCAAAGTACAAAGACAGTAGTAGTTAAAAGTACAAAGATAGAAATCGGTACTACACTTGGACGCGCATAAAAATTATCATAAAATGATAAAGTAGTTAAACTCTCGAAGCGAAAGAACGAAGCATTCGACTTTTTATTTCCTCCCTTACTTGTTCAACGGTGTTTGCGATGTGCGGGAAGAGAGCTGACGGTCCATAAACTCCGTCGTGAATATTTATCGCTGCTTCCAATATAAAACTAGCGGTAAAAATTCGTCAAATTCGTCAGCGTCCACTAAGAATTAGTATGCAAAAGAAAAATAATGATGTTGAAAATATGGCATAAAGTCAATGTATTTTGAACATAGCCCAAAGTTATAATATATAACCTTTATAATACCTTGAAAGAATTTCAAAATGTCAACATACGAAACAACATTCATAACCTGCTCCTGTATACTTAGATATTACATACTAGCTTTTCGCCGCGGCTTCGCTTTGAAGCCCTTAAATAAATATCTATCCCCATTAAGAAACCTTTATGACCCTTTTTCCAATTAAAAAATAGCCTATGTCCTTTTTCAGGGTCCATACTATCTGTGTGCCAATTTCATTTAAATCGGTTGAGTAGTTTTGGTGTGAAAGCGAGACAGAGAGACAGAGTCACTTCCGCATTTATAATATTATAACATTACATATTTCCTTCTACTACTGATTCGAATTCATTCCGGGGAAATTCCTTGTAAAAGGCGACAAATACCATCCCGCTTCCGCTCGTGGCTTGTGCCGCACGTGATAAACGTCAGCCCGCCGTCAAGCTGGCATGCCTGGCGCGTGTCCGTCAGAGCTCGCCCGCGCGGGCTCAGATTTATTTCGCATCGCGCCACACACGGCGCCGCTTCAATGTTGCCAAGCGATTGGCGTCTTAATTCCGCTCCGACGTACGCCGATTTGTCGTCCCGTCTTTTAACCATGACGGGATAGACAGAAAGCTGCTGTAGCGTTCCGCCGTTTTTGAGAAGTCCTCGACTTGATAGATGGCAAGTCTGTGAATTCGATTTGCGGGATAGAAATAGTAAAAATCGACGCCACATTTCTGCATATTACTGATTGGATAAGTAAACTTGAACGCAAATACAAAGCAATCTTTGACCGTTTGGTTTATTCACAGGTGAGTAAGCAACCGCAAACATTGTGTAGATCAAAGTGTGATAAGGTCAATTGAATATAAACGTATAACAGATATAGATGCGAAATCCGATGGATTTATCGTGTGGATTGAGTTGACTGGTGTGTATACGGAAAAAAATAATAAATAAAAATTCACCGAAGGACCACCTGATTTAATTCACGTTCTTTGCAATGATAGCTTATACTATTTATTAACTTACTAGCCCATAATAATAGCGTGACGGCCCGAGCCGACGCTCCCTCGGGAGCCCTTGGGCTTAGTCACCACAACGCGTAATCGAGGTTCAGGGCAGGCGCCTCGAGCGCCCTTAAGTCTGGTGGATCTGTAAAGGCCCTTAATGCCAACAGTGGAATATGCTGCCAAAAATATAGTAGCCCATCTGATAAACTCGTTTGTGATATTGCACTGCATGGAGCTAATTCATGGGATTATTTAGCCTTTATAATGTAAATAAATTTTAACGTTATAGCGAAAGTCACTAGTATGTTCGCAGCAGTTAATGTGCGCTGAGCAGTTTCGCGCTAACAGCCCATCTCCCCGCGGGGCCCATTTGTTATTTGTGTTAACGACAAAAATTAATTGAACGGCACAGCGACGCCCGGCCTATTTCGTCGCGACGATCATACTACAGCTGGTGGATTTATTGCGGCACCGTTGGCGTTTTCGTCGTCTTCTAGTTATTTAGCAGCTAACTGCCTGTCAGTTGTTTGCCCTCTTTCCTGTGGATATTCGATAATCGCTCGCGTCTTTTGCACTTGACTGTCGATGCAGAAATTACGAAAGGCCACGGACTGATAGATTTATGGATGGATTTTTTATTTTTGTTAAAAATGTACCTATGTCACAAATCCGTAGGACCCTGAAAATGAAACTAAGGCATGTGTGGGAATAAAAATTGAAAAAGAAATCAAACAGGTGTATTAGTAATTTAATATGTATCTTTTACTGTTATGTAGTTCCAGTTACATGAAATGTTCTTTATTACTACTTTTTTTTTAGTCTTATCTCTAATATGTAGAGATAAGACTTCTTAGCAAAAAAAATCCCAATTATTACTTCAACAAAGTTAAAAGTTCAAGGAATATTATTATTGGTACAGCGTACTAAACTCTGTACCAATAATAATATTCCTTGAACGCCCTAATTTCGTCACATGATAAGGGCTTAATTCTATTTCAAACGCTAGAATCATAAAAATTATGGTATATTTTGCAATTTTGGATTGCATTTTCTACGTAGTCGTCAAATCAATAACGCTATTCACTTAAGCTAGTCAGACAGCGAAGTCAAAGCTGAAGCTATAGCTTTCATTTATTTCTATTTCTTAGTTCTTTTTAATTTTCCACCAGAACACTCGTGTCCTTCTCAGATTTATTTTCTTTTCACCATAGGAAGTTATATGATATTAGCTCTCGATTTTATCGTTAAAATTCTATCACTACGGAGCATTAGTGTTGAAACTGAGAGCCGATAAATTTAGGAACGCCTAGACGCTGGCATCGGTATGACAAACGGGGACAAAAGACCACCAGTCAGGTAAATATTTGCTCAGCGAACGACGGGCCGATAGTAATTGCCCATTAACCTAATTCACGGCACCAATTCATCTATACGCGATGTGCTAAGCCAAAAGTTGAGTTTCGCGACGTATAAACCGTGCGCAGGGATTTTGGCCGACACACGAGCTGACGGTATTTCGAGAATATATCCGGCCGCCCTGAATTATTGAGCCGCAACGCTTATTACGGGATATGGAAATTTATGTTAAAATTTTCGGGGCGCTTTATCAAAATTAGATTTCGCTTTGCGTCGGAAGTGATCAAAAATTTTGCGGGCCGCGCGGCTGGCGAGCGCTGTTTAGCGATAATTCTCTTTACATACCGTGAATAGAATTACGTTGTGACTTATCACACAGTTCACGCACTTTATTTACACGAAATATTCCGTGAGATTTTTAGAACAAATTAAATTCTAAACATTGTACATAATTCATCAGAGACTTGGATGATATTTCGACAGTGGCAAACATAAAAACAATTTTTTTCGTCCAGTATTTATTAACCAGGTCAATTGAATAAGTTCATTCGATTTCAGTTTAGTTTGCCAGTTAAGACTAGTGAATGGGCAGACCGGTGCTGTTCAAACCAAGTGACTATTATTTCTTTATTTATATTACTTAATTAATTGCTATTATTACATAAATATAACACAACTACACCACCCTATTAGGTGATGCAGTCGTGATCTTGCCGACTAGATTCCGATTTACGAAACTCCTGGAATACGACTTGTTAGTGGAGAATCGCAAGTGATTTTGGAATTTGGAGAGATTCCAAAGGGGTAGGAATGTTATGCAACTTTGGTAAATAAGAGCACTAGCTTTTAGTACGAAAACGATTCATGCTGCTTCCGCTTGTATATTACAAGCCTGCGACTGCTTCTGCGTAGAATAGGCTGAAGGCGTAACATTAAGACAGAAAGACAGATGTACATAAAAATGTATATAAATTATAGTCTATGTCTTATTCTGATGTATAAGCTATATTACTCTAAAGTTTCATTAAAATCTATTCAGTAGTATTAGCGTGAAATACTAACAAACATCTATCCATACATACAAACTTTCGTCGTTATAATATTAGTAAGGACAAGCTGCTGCCCGCGGCTACGTCTGTGTAGAATAGGCTGAAGGCGTAGCATTCAGACAAAAAGACAGATATACATAAAAATATGTATATCAATTATAGCCTATGTGTTATTCTGGTGTATAAGCTATATTATTGTAAAGTTTCATTAAAATCCATTCAGTAGCATTTGCGTGAAAGAGTAACAAACATCTATCCATACATACAAACTTTCGCCTTTATAATATTAGTAAGGATAGTAATGATTTTATTGAAAAACCCATCGAAATCGATAAAAATGGGAATGAAAAGATATCAAGTTTCAGATAATTTTATTTTTATATAGCTTACCAACTCGAAGAAGTCTCTTAAGTTGTTGTATTGTCTTTACTTGAATTTATTTTGTGTACTCGGTTTTCCTGTTTATTATTTATTGATTGAGATGAAATTAATTCAAAATTTTGTTTAATATGTACGTACCTTGCCAGTTCTCGTCTAGGTAGAGTAAATCTACTGTGGCCGTCTTGTGTATAATAATTGCACGACGTTTCACAATTATACGCTAACGTCGCCTTTCTTCTTTTCCAGATCCTCGTTCGTGGAGCGTCTGACTCATGAGCGAGAATATAACCTGCCAGGCTGTATGCTGCTAACTGTGCTAATTCAATAAAGGTTTCTAGGCCACGCCAATTATTGCACCAAAGTGGGTCATTTTTATTGCTGGACAGTGGAGCGGCCAGCTAATTACTTTTCAGTTTTATTTGCTGGCTTGTGTGTCGGCTCTAGGTGATTTGTGGCTTAATGGAAGTGCAAAGTAGTGTTAGAGTATGCCCCCAACTGCGGTTTTATTGACTTTTAGGTAAAGGCACGTAATGAATTTTCTAAAAATCACACATTAAAACTTTACTCATTTGCATGAACTAGATTAAAAGTTTTGATAATAGTGTGTTACTAGATTTAGTTAATAGTTATAGTGTTAGTAGACTAGCTAGTTAGCGTCTAGATATTTATTCTATATAAATCATTCATTAACAATACGCGATATTTTACCTAACATACCAGCCATGGTTTATTTAAAAGTAATATACGAATATCCTCAATATCATTCGTGGTTATTCTTGCTTTGTACTCAGCGGAAAATCAGTATTTATATTCCGTGTCTGCATCATCAAGGTCAGTGATTCTATAACTATATATGCCTGTATTAAATCCATTGAAACGAAGAAAATCTTCATGAATATGTGTTTGATTATTTCGTACCGTATCATCATGGAATTTCTAAACCATTGAATATTCATATGTTTGCGAGTGGTTTTGAATGAGTCGCTATTCAGTGTGATCCGCCGAGGCAAATCTCTTTGATGTTCTTCCTAACGCTTTCTCTTTGATATTTCTTCCGCTTCTTCCTCTAATAAATTCTTTTCTTGCCCACCACTAAGGACTGCAATTTTCAAAGTAATAATAATAGTGTAGAGAAGGAATATTCTCGTAGTATACTGCAATCGTGAAATGAGTTATTATTCTTTGTTTTTAATATCTACAGCAAAATTTAGGTACGATGTTTGCTGCAGTGATTAAAATTTATAATCTGTAAATCTTTATATACATTTTGTTTACTAAAAGTTGTTTTAGTCGACACGACATAATACAATACTACTACTACATTCTCCATCAAATTTAATTATTCAAATACCATTTTAAATTTATTAAAAAACATTGCCCTTACTGTGGAATAACATTATCCTATATTATAAGGACGTTTTACATGCATAAATTTGACGTGGACAAACACCCAGATCCGAAACAATTATTTGTCACTAGTTGGGTCAAACAAAACAACAAATAGTTGCCCTGTGTAGGAATCGAGCCCCAGAGCCTAACCCAGTACCTTATCAACTGCGCTCACAGAGTCATCATAAGGACTGTTAACATGTGATGATCACTTTGTTCGTTTTCATAGCTAACAATTTTTTATTTACATTTGGGGTACCTGTTTTATAGCGACTAGCTTATCGTCGCGTGACGTATAATAGCGAATCGGGTCGGATTTCTTTTTTTTTACAACAGTAAGATAAAATTATTTTGAGCTGCTAGAATGTTTAATGTAAAAAATGTAAAGTATCCTCTTATACATGTCCCACAGCTGGGTAAAGGTAATCTGTGTACAGAGGGTACTAGGGCATAGTCCAACACGCGACCCCACCGTGGTTAGGCAGATTTCACATATCTATGAAATAACTTGTTTTGTTACTAACCCCACCGGGCAAACGCCCACGGTGCCAGCAAAAAATTCTTTGGACGAACAGCGATTGTGGAGTATACGAGTAGGTTCGTGCGGACTGCCGACATCAGAGTATGCGGCATTCATATCCCCATCAGGGCCCCACTAACAATCACTATAGTTCCAAGGCAGCCTGGACGATAAAGCTCCAGTTAATTGGACGGCCCGAAGATAAGGAAGCGCTCGAACTTTTTACGACGCCGATAGAAGTTGATAGCGGTAAGTGGATGAAATGGCAATGGATATTGGCTAATTCAATTACACCGGGCACTCGATACATCGTTGGTGGTCACGCGATCGCAGCGGGCGGCGCCCCGATGGAATGGAAGCAATGAATTGATGCTATTAATATAATTGATAGTCGCATGTACCGACGACGGTTCAGCTGTTAGCGGCCAGGCATTGTTTATAACTTACTTTCGAACTGCATTTCATGCGATCAAGGCCGATGATGTCTTTACTGAAAGCCTCTCGTTTATGAGGTACGGACCCTTTGCGATTTGGAACGTAGAACGAAGCGAATGTTTCAGATATTATTGCAAGAAGCGGGCACGTGTCTGTGTTCCTAAACGGCTAAACAGAGATAGCCTGGCTATTCAGTTGAATGACAAGAGGCGCAGTATTGCCATAAGCGGGCACGGATGTTAACACATCCGAAGAACAAAATTTTTTTAGATGAAAGAACACTCTGCGATGAAAAAATGGAGAATTAGCCTTCTTCGCTGGCAATGATGACATTCTAGCTGATGCTTTATGCGTGTGCTATCTGAAATTACAAAGAAAATTCAAAGACCTACCAAATGCAGTGTGTACCAAATGCAAAGTGTTTTATATGTTTAGCTATTAATAATTATTGAATGAAATTTTAAGTGCTGAGTTATCGTATGCACAGAGGTATCTATATTATCGAATATAGATACCTCTGTGCATGATATAAAAAAAAATATTTGTAGCAAAGTGCGAAGTACCCTAATACCGTTTTCACAGAGGAGGCCAAGCAGTGGGACATATTAGGATGTTAAAAGTAAATACTATTATTTTCAATATATTATAGCCTTAATTACCGGTTTATCTATATAAAAATAATAAAACGGTTGCTTACCTGATAGTGGAGATATATATCCAATACCTATGGGCGTTGCTAACACAATGTGTAAAGGCCCTTAGTTGCTCGCGTCAAAATGTTTTTTCGCTTAAAATAGGATAGAAAAAGATTTATTACAACTGAAATACAGTAATATCGCGATGAGACTTACGAATGGAAATATTTAACAAGCATTTGCTTTGCAATCCATTTCCTTGCCAAAAATATGGCGACTGACACTGCGCTTTAATACATCATATTCCTTGAATTTATTAAAAGAGTTTACTTTCGTGTTGTGTAAATTTAGACAGACGTTTTAAGTGGATCACTTTAAATAGTAGATTTAAATGAGATGCTAAATCTCGTTTCAACATGTTTATTTTCCCAGCGCCATCGTTTTCTTGAATAATAGAGAATAATTTAAAAAATCGAATTTTTCAACAAACTTCCCAAGGAATTAAATTAATTAATAATTGCAATGTTACGAATTACCTTTTTTATTAATCTAATTCTATATCTCAATAAACCTAAACTTCATAATGCAAAAGCTTAAAACAGAATAGTCTAAAGTTTGATTTGAAATCTTATATCTACTTATTGGTACACATTTAAAAGACTGTGAACATTATTTTTACTGGTTTAAACGTTAATTTACTGTAAACATAACATAAAAAATTCGAGTCTTTATGGTCGACTAATCGAACGACTAAACGGGAAATACACACGAAAACAATTACGGACGTAATCACAAACGATGACGTCGTCAATCTTAATTTCACCCGAGACATTAAGCCGAGCACGTGCTCGTGAAATTGTCGAAAAAATTCGAAAAGTCATCACTTAAACTGTGGCGGCATGCACCAGGCACTCGATATAGCGTTTTTGTTTTTTAATGACGACAATATTTTTGATGACGGGCGAAACATTTTTAAATAGCAATCTAAAAACAAAATGTATTTTAACACAGCTATTATCTTAAGCCAAGACAAGATATTAGCGTTAATTTTCGACAACCTTAAAACGTAGCGATATAGATTATACAAACTGCCTTTCACGTATACTCAGGAAATTTCAGCTAAAATCCGAGATACGGTCGCACTACAATGCTTAAACTTGATTACAATGTGCAACTGACAAATATTCATTCCTATTCCATTAGGCCCTTGGTGTTAAACCTTGAGAATTACAACTACAAAACGTATACTGTCCTACGAACGCAAACGTTGTAGCCAATCTCCGGAGCCTCATGGTCTGATTCCCAAGCCGCAATCATCATTAGGCTTTAATGTTTATCTCGGTAATAACTAGACGCGGTGTGAAGTGGAATCGCACATCATAAAGGAAGTTGCATATTAATACAAAGGGATAAGAGCTATAGATAATATATAGTGGCTGGTGACAAGAGAGCTGGTTCTTTTCTCGCTCAAAGGTTAAGCATAACTATTAAGCGAGGAAATGCAGCTAGCGTTCTTGGCACCATGCCGCGTGGATTAGGTTTATTAGATAATATTTAATTTTAGATAGATTTAATCTTGTAAATATTAGATCAATAAAGATTGTAAACTTTAAAAAAAATAAGGGATAAGTCGCTCAGATTGAAATTATAGCGCGATTTAAGTGACGGATCATTTTTCAATTTTGTTGGATGATGATTTCGCTTTCAACCCTTTAGACGGGATAAAGTCTCTCGACACTAGCTATTTCTAGAGACTGGGAGGGTTTGAAAGGTAAATACCAATGCATGGCGCATTGGTATTTACCATTGTTGAATATAAAGAAGAAATGTTAAAATAAACTGTGACACGCGTGTTTTATTTTTCCCATTCAAATTGTACTATTTTTCAAAGTCCGAATAAAATTAAAACAAAGTTTACCGCGTCATAGATTAGAAGAACTTCGTTATCATAGCTACAGTAATCATCACATACAGTCGTGACATAGCTTTTGTTGTCTTGACTTATTTATATACACCAAGTGTATCTCATCTAACAACGGAAAAAGCAATTAAAGGTTGAAATTGCTATGCTGAGCATAATTTTGAGTTATGAACATGCCATAATATTTGAATGTCGTGGTTCGTTTTGTAATATTAAGTAATGGGTGATACTACTCAATGAAAAATAAAATTGTGATGGTTATATTGAAGAACGTATCAATTAGAGAACCTTAAAAAGGAGTACATGCATGACTCAGCATTTACTAAAAGACAATCCAAGTGCTTTTGGATTTTGGTAACATCATTCTTGCGTCATTAGTGGAACGGGCATTCTATTAAAGCAGTAGATTTATGTCAACGGAATAAAAGTTATCGTTGTTTCGAAGCCGGGACGCGTTTCCCATCGTCGTTTATCATTTTCCCCGCAGTTTTAATTGACAGCTGTCAAATCGCAAGCTTTTTCGCGCCATTTTACACGCCATCGTGCCTAACGATGGCGATTCGTTTTTTAGATAGAGCACTGTGTTTTTTTTTTAATTGGACGACGTATTTTATTGCAGCAACTCAATATCGTTACGACTTTGACAGTTCGTAACGTGATATTTGCGATATGTCGTAGCGTCTGTCAGATGTTTACTCACGTGTTGTTCAACGACGCTTTTGGGAAAATGATTTCTTTAACGGGTTGCGATTTTAAAGCCATATGCGTTCTAAAATTTCCTCATAATTCGTATTTTAACCTTTTTTTTTTATTTGATCCTTAGGTTTCGATTTGATGCAACATTTTCCTCAACTTATAGACAGACCTTAATGTTTTGCCTGTTATACCAGCCAGCTTTATTTCAAAATAAATATTTTTCCTTTATTTGAACATACAGAGGCTGGGAGGACACCAAAAAATTAGATTGTCTTTCATTTCAGGTTCAGAATCACCACGTGGTCTAAAAGGAAGAAATAATTGAAAAGTAACTTTGTCAAGATGAACATCTAAGAATGTACGGAAACGAAGAGATAGAAGACGTTCGGTACACTAATGGGCCTGAATTGTTGCTCTTACCTGTATTTTGAACTAGGTGAGCAAACTTTCAGGTGTGTTAGTGCCGACTTAACGACGGAGAAGAGTAGGAAGAAACCAAACATTTTGATGCTGAAGAAATTGAGAAAGTTGAAGATGGTGCCGCCATTGAAGAAAGCAAGTTTGGTAATTTGATCATTTATTGTCGTGTTTAAGATTCTCCTGTTCAAGTTTTATTTTATTTCTATTATACTTTCGTCCTTAATTAGAAAGATGATATATAATTAGATAACGAATGTAATTTGATGATTGTGTACAAAGGTTTTTACAAGACCATTAAAAGTGAAAATCCTATACATTATATATTCAGTATTTAAGCAAAACAGCAACAACACAACTTCTAAAAGTCATCTCTAGTGAATCAGTATTTGAAATTACAATGAACAATTTTATTTGCTGACACTATGATTTCCTAGGCTTAGATTAGTTTTTTTGTTTAATTTTAAAGTTTTTTATAGTGCTAATCTCTGCACTTAAGATTGAACATAAAAACATGTAGAAAAAGTACGAAAAGATTGTCGCCGCTGTGCTATGCTAAATAACAATGTAGATAGAAGACGTTAAGATTTTCGTCACTGTGGCTATCAGCCGTTTAGCTCAGTGGCTAGAGCGTCAGGCCGCGAATGCCGAAGACGTGGGTTCGATTCCCACAGCGGCGACAATTTTTTCGTACTTTTTTTACATGTTTTAATTAGATTAGTTTGCTAGGTTATAATGATTTAATACTAATTTACTAAAATCATTGCTAAAATAATACCTTATAAACGTTCATAGGAGCTTTTTACATTGAAATTAGTTAAGCAGTAAACCGGTACTGTATTCTATAAAAGGTTAAGATGGCATGCAGCGAGCAAATTAATGAAAGATCTGGAGAAGATATGTTATATGATTTTTATCTTAGTAACCGTTACAAACAATGTAAATAGATATGTGTTTGCGTCACTTACTGTAATTAGATTGCAGTTCTATAGACTTTTTTTTTAACTGATGTTTTTGCTTTCAGTCCCGAGACTATTAAAGCTTCATCTGACGCAGAACCGGTGGGCTAGCCAGAACCCACGGGTTTGGGGCTCTATAGACTGCTATCTCTTTGTGTATCGTACATGATGTAATGTACAGCGGAACAATTCATAAACGCCGCACAGTATGGACATGCGTGATATTAATTAAATCATTGTGTTTTGGTAAATAACTGTTTTTTTAATGTATTTCTATGAGTCGATATCAAATTTTAATA